ACAGATCGATAGTGCGCAAACCTGTCGACCGCCGCTTCATGTCATCGGGGGCTATCCCACATCCCATCTCGTCTCACCCGCGACTCGTTATTGGTAATAAATCGACAAGCCGGGTACCGCCGGCCACTTCCTACGTTCTTGGATCGTCTCGAGTATCCTACCGTCTCACTCCGTTCTCTCGAGAGAATGCGTTCCTCCTTTCCGCAGGTCCAGGTGAATAACCACCTCGTACCTTCGGCAAGGCCGGTTATCGTCATTAACCGGAATCTTTTCAGGCGGATTCCCCAACCGCACGGCGCGGCACGGCTGAAGGATCGAGTCGGGCTTGGGTTCGTAAACTTTCTAGGAAATTTACTGTAATCCGGCAATTGAGACGAGGCGAGCAAGTAAACAAGCTCTCGCCTATTATGAATTGCTTGAAGAAGGGGTTATTCTCAAGACAATTTCGTCATTAAGTTTACTGAAACTAGTGTGAGAAATTGAATATTATTTACTGAATATCAAATACACACACAAATGTGCGGCGATAAAGAGCAAATGTTTTCTGAGTTATTTACATTTCAGCTTTAAATTTAGTTATGGGGCATATTAATGAATAATAAACGTAGCTTTATATCGCATTAGATGTAATGCAGGAACCATAATATAATTGTATAATATAATAGTTCTTTTTATACTAAAATTGTAAGAATTAACTTTGGAAAGAATTTACATATTAATAGGATGTTAAGAATTTGTGATTGTGATAAATAAAAGAGAAAATAATTAGACTACATATCACTTTAGACTACATCATATATTATTTCAAGCGATTATGCACGTTAAATTAATAATTTTCAACAAAGATTCTGAACCTTTACGTCAGTTCATAAGATATTTAAGGGCGGAAATATATGCTAAATATGTATATATTTACTGATTTATTAGACAATTATTCCGACACAGCTCGTATGATAATATAATACAATTAAATGTGCGCTCGACGCGTTCGACGATAAACATTTCAGACAGAGTCGTCTACACTTCTACAGGACCATTAACATTACAAATTCATAACGGTAATCAAATCAGTAAGTCGATTTCTATTCATCTAAGATTTATAGGAAGCAGGTACACCGTCAGGAATATTGCCGCGATACCCAGAGGCAAAGGTGAAGCAGAAAGGTGATCTGCGCGCTTTCCATCTTGGTAGGTAAAATCGGACGAGAGAATCGGAAAGGGTCCGGGCCATAAGTGGTCCAATCTACCGGTCGTGAAACGGTTTCGTGAGGAAGGCGGTGGTCAGGCCGTGCCACAAGGGGGGACGACAGGAGGACGCCGAACAGGCAGGTTGCCGCCCGGGGTCGACGTCGGGCAGGTGCGCCTTTCTCGCGCAGAGCAGGGCAGGGCAGGGCAGACAAAGGATCCCAGAATCCTCCTGGCGGATGGTATTTTGAGCAGAAAGCTGGCTAACAGCAGTGACGCCAAACCCGATGGATTCCGCCGTCAGGCGAATTTCTCGAGCGAATGGCCCAGTCGATGCACGCGTGACCGCTGAACACGATCCGCTATGGAATTTCATGCCATTGTATGGTTGGGGTGGTTGCATCTCGACTCCCTATAGAAGAATGGCGGACACGGCCCGGGAGATCATCCGGATATTTAAAACTGCCCTCTGGTCGGGGACAGGTATCCGGATATCATCATTGAGAACTTCTTAATCTTTACTCTAAGGAAACAATAATAAATAACGAAGATAGTGTAGAATTCGATCGAATTCGACCTTCTTGATTTTGATAAAATTTTCAAAATTTACCATTTCAATGAAAAATGAATTATGAATCTTGGAAATGATAGAACGCGAATCAATTTTATATTAATGTTTAGCGTAAATTAAAATAAAACAATTTTTTGTGGATTTATTTTAACCAAAGGATTAGAGTTTATTAATTCTTCAATTTTATAGATTAATAATATCGCTACTGAACAAATAATTTTGCTATTGAGTTCTACGATTAGTCATTTCCGAATAATTGGTCGTCCCACAAGTTATTATTTGCTTCGTTTTTAGGATTTCTCTAAACTTTCTCATTGTTCGTCGATGCTGTTCGGGCATCGATACACCGACTAAATCGCACAAAGCACAAACCTCCGCTCAAAAAGTACCGATACTATCACCATAGAAAATTTCATCAAAATGACCACGTCCCCCTTATACGCTCGGAAGCATTATCGGCACGAGAGGGTACACCATCATCACGCGCGGAGATCGTTACGTGCCCCGCGCGATCGCTCGATCGATCGGTGCCGGGCGTGACGGAGGATCCGCGCGAGGATAGCGGTTTGCTGCCCAAGCGGCCACGTGCAAACGGATAGCAGCTCCCCTTTCACGGGCGACTTACTCCTCGCCCGGACCTGCAATCAGGGCAAGATTGTAGACATCTGCCGGCCATCTGCCGGCATCAGCGGCCTTCCGGAGGGCCGGCGATCGCCGCTCCTGCGCCGTCTCTTCTGCGTGCTTCGCGTCCCTCTCATCCGCTCCGCAACCGCGTTCTCGTGGCAAGGTGCACGAACGCGGTCTGAAATCGCACGTACGCGGAGACCCGTCCTGCTCCTTCTTATTGCTCGTCTCGTTGCGCGCGCGCCGGTATTGCATGCGAGCGAGGTGCGATCTAGATTTATAATGACGTAAACGAGCACATGCGGGTACGTGTGTCTTGATGATTCCGATAAATTTCGAATACCCTGTGTCAGCCTTTTCGAATCGTGACGTCAGAGACGACTGGCGAGAAAATCGCGAGAAAATGTACAGGAATAATTCGCGTGCGACTGATACTCACGTTAGCAACTCGTCGCCTACAAAATTGTCCCACTTCGGCAAGACAGATTTGCAAAAGCAATGGCTGTCAGTTCGACCGAGGATTTATGTGCAATAATAGAACAAAAGTAAACACACACATGATATTGTTTACGAAAAAACTCAATTTAAGAGCTTGAAAGTTTTAACAATTTTAACAGTGACTATAATGATTAACTGAATACATGTAAAGGTTTTTAATTTCTACGCCGTAAAATTTTCTATATTTTGTATTGTAACACACTTTACTTCTTCAAATTCTCGATATTTATAAAATTTTTCTTCGTTTAATGGGTTGTTACAGCTAAATATGGCACATATCAAATATATCGTTCTAACAAGATCAAGATAACCAATAGCCGAGTAATCTTATCGGTATTTTCGTGTTACATCGCGTTACAAATCCATGTTAAAAAATGTACGTGTCACGATGTGCTGCGTGCACTCCCGTGGGGAGCAAATGACTTTTGCAATTAACTCGCCGATGCATTATCGTTACCGGCGCAATGATCTTGCCTTGGTGCCGTCAGGCCAGGTGTAAAATCACAGTGCCGCTGAGCACCAGGTGTGCGTAACCTGGAGCGGAGGTGCGGAATCAGTTCTCCGCCAGCCGGCGAGATTAATTTAACGAGCGGCTCGTGCGGGATCATAAACTGCACGGAGGTTAATTCGTAATTAGCTCCCCACGGTCTGTGCGCGATTCTGTAGGATATCTTAAAGGCATAATGCATACGCGTTGGCTGTGCAACGTTTGGGAAGATAACTCGGGAAGATACGATTTCCTCAGCGACAGCATCCTCGATGTTTGCGCCGATGACGTGTACATCAATTAATCAAGGATGTGGATCGAACGCTCAATTTTCTCACGAAAACTTTGATTAATTGCGGACAACTCGGCCTCATCGGACGTCGCCAATCTGACGTTGTAGTCATGCGTTGAAAGTCGTTAAGGAACGAATGATAGATCGTCAAAGCGATCGCAAATGTGCTGCAAAAGACATTTGTCGCGCTCTTCCCTTAATTATTTCTCTAACGCATAAATGTTTCTCGAACAACTTGGATAACGAGGATAAGATAATGGAGCTTAATGAGAATGTGAAAACGCCTCTCGCGTTCTTGCGACAGGCTCTTGGCTTCGTTCTTTCGTGCTTTGTCGTTCTTTTCGGCGATCGGCGATTATTCTTGCCGCCGACCTTACCCGGTATCCCTGTCACGCTTTTCCGAATCTATAACCCGAAGGTCGTGTAATATATTCGTGACTGGCGACATCGTGGCGACCGACACAAATAAAGAGCAGACAGACGGACGGACGGACGGACGGACGGACAGACGAATGGACAGACAGGGACGGTGCTGTATTTTTAGACTTCTAACCACGCGGCCACGGCAGAGAACGCCGCATTACGCCGCCACGAGCTCGCCAAAGTGAACACGTAGGTAATAACGTTAGGGGATTACTATGTTTCGTGAGAGGGTACCTATAAAAAGTCGCGTGTTTTAACTCAGACTGCAAATTTTCCGTCTAATTTAAACCTAATTATCTTTCAGAAAAATTTTCTAAAAATCCATTATCTAATTACACGAAATTAATTAATATCAAAAATTATTCCACCGAGCTAAACTTCGAGGTAATAAAACATGTTACTCTCTTCAGTTAATCAGTTAATCTAATATTGCTTAATTTAAATAATTGCAACTCGTACTTTTGATGTCGCAATCTTCAGACAATCTTTTAAGTTAGTCCTTCAATATATCCATGTGAGACATTTATCTCGTATCATATCCTGTAAATGATTCATGGAAATAGCGTGTGCAAAATTCCACTCTTCATTCCGTCATTCGGTACTTTCCTTCTAAAGAATAATTTAGAAGATTGAAATTATGTATGGCCTAATTAGCTCTAGATTTGTGACAATCTGTCTGATTCATTCCTGCATAATTGCGTAATCGTAGACGTTTCGATGGCGAGCGCGTAAGGAACAGGAAATTCGGGATGTCTCCAATTAGCATTTCACTTGTCTGTATTCATCGTCGCGTTACATAACAGCGTATAATATAGCTCAATAGATCTTAGCGAAGTCGCTCGAGCGCGCTACGAGGTGTAATACCCCGGTAATTCGCGCGGGCAATGGGGACACTTACGGCATACTACGTATATACATACCCTACGTGTGTGCACAAATCGTCCGCCGTCGTCATCGTCGTCGTTTGTGTGCCGAGTACCGCCTGGAAGAAAAACCTCAATTTAGTTTATAGTGTCAATTGAATGAACAGACGGGGTACGTGATTTATTTTTAGACCTGCATCACAGGGGGACCCCGCTGCATTAAACGGTTACGTGTGTGCACGGCTCATGCACGAACGAGCTCATCTCTGTGCCGCGCTGGCGACGACAGCATCATCGGCGAACGCAGAGAGCGACGTCACACGAGAGATGCTCCTGCGATTATTACGTCGCCCAGCGCAATTTTCATTTCCTCGGCCATACGAAAATAATTAAATGACTTTCTACCTTATTGTTAGCCGCGTGCGCAGTATTTTCTAAAATACTATAGTTATTTCAAATTATCAAAAACATTATTTTCCCCATTTATCATGATAAAATCACGGTTCTCTTTTAGAAAAAAAGAGCGCAAACGTTGTAAACTGGAATTATATATTCCCCTGAATGTTTTAGTAATGCAAATGCACGTTAATAAAGTTTTTTGTTAATTTTATAATATCATAAGTATATGATGCAAGTACTATTTTCGGATTCTATAATTTTTAATCGCATATGGCGATCAGTTGTGTATTCAATAATCGATTAAAATCTAAATCACGCTGAACTTTATTTGCGTCGAAGCTGTAAAACGTTTAAGAAGTCGTTTATATCACTAACTTTACACCGTCAATACAGCGTTTCGTTTTGTCAAGCCAATCGAGAATCTGTTCGAGCTTCGGCTCCGAAAGATGAGAGCGACAGATTGCATTTCTGTGAAATCCGCACCGGGTGCTGGAAACGCTTAGGATTTGGCATGAACTTGCGCCGAGGAATTCCAAGGGGGAAATGGCAAACTCTCGAGTTTAAGTAATAGAGGTTTAACCCTCTATGGCCGTGACGAGGGATTTACCTCGATCCTCAAGTGGCGTTCACAACATCGCCGCACGAACTACTAACACAGACCCTCCGCGCAGCAACTTGCTCATCTCGCGCAAAGATCGATAACTTGTGCAGTTATTACGAACTTCTCACCTTCGTTAATCCTCAACCTGCTAAATCTACTCTTCCAACAGCAATTTCATGCTGCTGGTCAAAATACAGAGTGGTAAATGTTGAAAATTTGACTTTTTTCTTGCGCGGTCTTCGGATTGTATTCGATGGGACGGTCTTCAGATCAAGAGACACGGTAGTGTCTCGCGCCAAGTACACGCGAAGCGAGACCGCACCGTGACTCTTTTACGCGAACGCACGAGTTGCATGGGATCCCTCGAATATTCCGGTTCCCGAACGCGAAAGATTATAAATGAAAAGAACCTGCCGTAAAAATGCGGCTGCGTCTAAATTAGTATAATATTTCAGTTCTTTGGGAATTTTTCATTTTTCACAAGTTTAATAAATTACTGAGGTTTATCTTCATAAAAATCTTAACCATAATTATAGTATTTACGTCATAATTCTGTAATATAGAAGTCTCCCTTAAATATACCGAAATATACGTAAAAGAATCGACCTCCCCCCTCGCTACAATTTCAATCTCCGTCTTACGCCGCGTCGTTATTACCGACACCCTTCAGGCAATCGGCTCTTCCGCCTCAATCCTTTCGAGTTAATGACCGCGAATGAAATCGGAGCACTCCGCTTACACCGAGTTCCCTGTATGTATAACGACCTTAAAATAAAGGGCGGAGATCTCCGAGAGAAGAGAAGGGAACGAAGAAAGGAAGGAAGGAAGGAAGGAAAGCGCTGAGAAAGGACGTACGACGTCCCAGGCCTTTCGCGGCGACCGGGCAGGATCGATGGAGCGCGATTGAGGGTCCTCGAAGACAGGATCCGTCCTTCGACCTATATACCACCCGCCCGAAAGCGCGCGCGCACGTATAAAAACTTGCGCGGCCTGTCGACTTCCGGTCCCCCGGACGCCCAATGCAGCCGGGGCTTTAAGCTCGCTCCGGGGAAGCCTCGGGAGTTTTTACGAGCGCAGTTTATGGAAGCAAGCCAGCTGTGCTCGCGATAAACCCGCTGTACCTATCTACGGTGTGTGCACACGCATTCGCACGAAGACATACGGGACACATACGTGCACACAAAAACCCACACACAAATGCGTGCATTCGAGAGCAGGGCGCTGTGCACACCAACGAAAAGCGCACCAAGCGCGTTCGAATGCATCGCGGATATATGCACATATGGATTTCGCAGGTAGATACACGAATCACGCACACACATATAAAATCGCAACACACAACCACATACGAACGTTGCATCGTGCATGCATGTGCGTTGCCCGAGCCGCGTCGCTCGCGCGAATGGTTGCGCCGCCGTGCCAAAAACTTCCGTTTACGATCGCACCGAAAATGTTGATTGGAGCATCGCGATGTGAGCGACGCGTGACGCTGAAACGTTACCGTCGGATTTATCGGCGTTTATTCCTCTCGCACGCGTTTACGTTCGCAAGGTACAGTTAAATAAATCGAGATTTTTAGATCACAAAAATACGCCGGTCTTTAGAAAGGTTTTTCGCAAAATGCAAAATAGACGTGATCTATCTCAAAAACATTTTGCGGTACAATATAAATTACGGGCATGTAAAAAGTATGACTGATAATAATATAAAAAAATATTGTAAATTATTGCTAATATTAAAAAAAAAATTTATTGGAAAAGCTAGCGCGCACAAAGACAAGGAAGATCGGGTGAATCCCTATGCTTGGTGGCGCGAAAAAAATCAACAATCTCCGGCTTAACGCCTCCCGTTGCTTTCGTCTACTTTCTCGCGGAATGAATGACTTTAAATCCCGCGTTCGTGGGAGCTCCCGTGTTCGAGTGGGCGGTGAATGGTTGTATTCTTTGGTGTTAGTGGAGGCCGCGCGACGACCTTTCAACCGCACCCAGCTTGAGTCGCTGTTAAGACCCATGGGAGGAAATTGACACGAGCAGTTCTCTCAGGAAATGATCCGCATAAGCGATATCGGATCAAGTTAAGCCTCTTACATATTGCTTGCTCGTGCTAAAAAAGGCATCATCGGAGAGTCGCTCGTCGTATTTCGTGCGGGAGCTGATTAATCGCGCCCAACCGGTTATCGCTGTCGCAATTGCGGCGCATGAAGAAAAAGTTCCTCGGCGAATGATAAAGCGACGATAATCGGCGCATACGAAATTGTCCGCGCGTAACGCGTGACGCGGATGATGAGGACGCGGCCGAGCGCGTTTCTATACGGCACGGGATTTTATCGAGGGGATTAAACGACGCCGACGGAACGCACGGCGCACGGGGGTGGCGGACGACACGTTTGACCGAAATGTAAATTCGGTCACGTCGAATTAAACCGACCGTCCTGCAGGCGCCAGTCGCGCTCGATGCGCGACGCGAGGGCGTCAATCACGAATGCACAAAATGTGTTTTCAAACGCGATTGACGTCAAACGACACGCACACCGAGCCTTCAGAATTTAGCGAATAATTCCGCGCGATATCACATTCCTTCCGTTAATATTCGGCCGATGACGTGCTTTTATAAATCCGGGATTTTATTTATTTTATATTTTAATTGCGCTTATTCTCTCGCTGCACATTTAAGTCTATAAATAAATAAATAAATAAATATATATATATATATTTAAATCTATAAATATATAAATAAATAAATATATATATATATATATATATATATATATATATATATATATATATAGAACAATGAAATATTAATCAATATGAAACTATTTTTTTTGCAAGAATATAAATTTCACAACTGAATAATTTTAGCTATAATAATCTCGTTATCCTTTTCATCACTCTTTTCTAATAATTAATATGGATTATTAATCATTAGTCATTATTCATATATGTGACGTGCTCGACTTTCCGCTATATTTCGCCAGATGAATAAATTAATTAATAAAGAAGAAGTTTATGATGCTCGATGGAATAAATAACGCACCACGAGGAAATTCTAAGCTCCTGGCATACGTTCGATACTTAAGGATCTTGCACTCTGCGGCAACAAATTTCGGTGGATTTACTCCATTATTTACGGCGGGCGCAATTGACGGCCACGTCGTTGGCATAGGTATCCGAATTTGTCTTCGCGGGGACACGAAGACGAGTCGGAAAAGAAATATAACCCGGCGTCGGAGCCAGAGGAAGCCGGGGGATTCTCACGCATGAAAGAGGGATCGTGACGGAAGGTCACGCTGCATCTGCGACGAGGCGGACTTCGTTCTCTCGGGACGGCTCCAAAAAGTATGCACATACGAAAGCCGCTCTATTTACGAACAGGGTGAGAGCAAAAAGATCCTTCCCACCCGCAGAAAAGTAAGATAAAATTAATATTGTTTTTATTTGATTATTATTAATATCGCCATCTTCGGAATGCAAAACGTATTTTGCGAATAAATGAACTATATTTTAGGAAATAAAACGCGAAATTAAGCGATTTCTCTTAATCTTCCCTCGGAACTTCGAATTTAAACTCCAAAGCGTTTAATTGGAAGATCTTTTAGACGCTTTCAAGTTTGCAAAATATCGCGACGTTTTTAGATCGGAATAATTCGATAAAGTTCTGTCGAAAGTATAATTTCTCCGGATACGAAACATCGACGAATCGCAAAGTGGCGACATTTTCTGGAACGTTCACATCGGCACGCGGTGGCATCTTCTAGAATAGATAGAATCCGCATGTCAGTTAGCGGCTGCCAAGTTGAGAGAACTTACGTTCCAGCTTCGCTACGTACGCTCTCAATTAAATACCGTCATTTTGGAATCTCTGACAAGCGCCAGGAATAAGCGCACGATCCCTTGGAGAGATTTTGCGGTTGCGTCTATATCCAAGTCCGTCCAAGAACGAAGCAACTTAATTCCGACCTACCCAGAGAGAAAATTTCCTGGCTTATTTAAACCTTTCATTATTGTTATTTCCGCTTATTGCTTTTACTTTAGTATTATAAAGCTATTTAAAGAAAAAAAAACATTGTGTAGTAGTTAATTGCGAAGTTTGGAATCTTTAGCAAGAAGAAAATCTCAA